AGAAAATCAGATTTGGGCCACTTTTACCTGCTGTGTGATGGGAGCCTAGTAGCTTATGAAGAATTCTAACCACTACCGTTGCTCCACCTTCAGAATACCAGCTTTAGGGGAAGGGCAGGATGGCCCCCCATTACTCGGCGTCATGCTAGCCAGCGCTAGTATTTTACGTCTGATAGCTGACGTAACAGAACTGGCGGTTGGTGCTTTCCTCAGAGCGCGTTTAGCTCTCCAATGAAGTTACATTAGCAGCAGTTCGAAAAGATGCGGCGGCACTTCACAGGTCTCAGAGGAAGCCTGTGCTGGCCTTCACCCTCCTAGCGCTGGTGGTATTGTGTGACTGGGGGAGGCCTAGCTAGTGGGTGGAATTGGGGAGAGAAGTGTTCTCTGTTGTTCATTCTGATACTGTGTTTAAGTATAATAACGGAACCCTAGTGTTCCTGAATTATTATACTACTGTTAATAATAATAATAATATTAATAATAAAAAGTATTATTATTATTATTATTATTATTATTAGGAATATTATGTGTCTATATGTTATGTAAGTTATATCATCCACCTCTGTGCCTCAGTAATACTGATCTGCACAAATACAAGCACACAGTCTTCCATGCCACTGAATATTGAATTACCTTCTGTTACACTGTGATTAACAGGAATCGCATTCAGAGTCACTGGACGGAGGCACAAACATGTACAGCCTGGACTGCATATGGATTCATTTCGTTGCATCATGTTCCTTTTCCATGTGCGTCTTTGTATGCATGAGGTACTTAATGACTGGAAAACGCTGCTATTTTGGACTTTTCTTTGGGGAGATTTATCCATATGGCGTCTCTGCAGTGTGGCGGAACACAGCTGTGTTCAGTAGCTTGACTGTAATGTGACTTTACGTGATTTTTCTGCTGCAGCGTGAGAGCCTGAGGGTGTCTGCACGCACACGTTTGTTATACCGCTGGATTAGACTGTAGAGTTACCTGAATAATTTGAATATTCTAATTATGCTACTGTGCGTTTGTCTAGTTAGTAGCTTTGTCTTTACAAAAGCCACAAAGGTTGTAGCCTAAACTACAGTACGTTTCATCAGCAAAGGCCTTTAGATAGAACAATCATTGTTAGTATATGGAAAATTTAAACTTATAGCTGGTTTAGTTGAATTCACGCCAGGCGTCCATGTCGCCATGCCTAGCTTTAGCCTAACATGGACACTAGAGCAGTTGCTGGGCTTCTCATTCTCGCCTAAAAAGTCACTTGATTCGGTCAGCCGTGTGCAGCAGGCTGTGGACGAGGTGGTACTGAAGCATAAATGACTAACATTTTCCAACAAGACGCACGTTTGAGACAACTCACTTGAGAAATCACGCTTCTCTATCAGTCAGTCTGATGGACGAGTCTGGGTTTGGTGAATGCCAGGAGAACGTTACCTGCCTGACTGCACTGTGCAGCTGTAAAGTTTGGTGGAGGAGGGATGATGATATGGGGTTGTTTTTCAGGGGTTGGTCTAGAACCCTCAGTTCCAGTGAAGGGGAACCTTAATGCTTCAGCAGAAAAAGACTTTTAGGACAATTATATGCTTCCAACTTTGTGTGAACAGTTTGGGGAAGAACCTTTCCTGTTCCAGCATGACTGAGCCCCAGTGACCAAAGCAGCTCCATAAAGGCCTGACTGGTTGAGTTTGGTGTGGAAGAACTTGACTGGCCCTCACAGAGTCCTGACCTCAACCCCATCAAACACCTTTTGGATGAACTAGAACGGAGATTGCGAGCCAGACCCTCTCGTCCAACATCAGTGTCTGACCTCACAAATATTCTTCTGGATGAATGGGCAGAAATTCCCACAGACTCTCTCCAACATCTTGTAGAAGCTTCCCAGAAGAGTGGAAGCTGTTAGAGCTGCAAAGGGGGACCAACTCCATATTAATGCCTATGGATTTAGAATGGGAGTCATAAAAGCTCCTGTAGGTCTGATGTGTAGGGCTCCCAGTATAACGTATATTAGAATGTTAACTGCTGCTCTATTTAAGGTGGAACACAAAAGTTGAACAAAAAGCTGGTGATAATGGCTCAGTTTGGTGGGTTTGGTGTATCAGTCCTTTTCTTTATTTCAGTTCATTTTGATGTGTGAACGCTCCACTCGCGCTCGGGTCCAAATGAACTGTGGTCTTGCAGAAATCACAGGTCTCGGTTCGCTTCTGAATGAACTCCGATTCAGTTCGCTGCTAATGGGAAGCCGTTTTTGTGACTGTTTGCACCAAATGAGAGAATTCAGCATCAGAGCCTGCTTTGCTTCTTCCTCTAGCAGCACATCAGCGCTGTATCCTCTGCATAGCCTGCCTGTTTTAACATCTCACTGTTTAGACACTCATATCGTTCTTGCAGCAGGAGCTGCTGCTGATAAAGGCAGAACAATAAAGTGATACTGAAGCAGTGTATTTAATTCTGGCACAACGCACTGTGTCAGCGACCTGATGTTACATTCAAATTGATAAACCAATCATAAAGAAGCAGATGTCAAGTAAGGCTTATTGGGCCTCATTTACCAACCAGAAGTTTCTTTTTTAAACCCCCTTACGCAGCTTTCATGAAGATTCTCCAGTGTTTTCTTATGTGGGGTTTGTTCTTAGGTAAGAACAGAATCTACACACACTTAAGCACAGAGGAGAGAACAGTTCTGCGCTTTAAGAACACGACATGAATCTGATGGAGACTTTTTCTCAAGAACACATTTAGGAAATACTGAGGAAGATACTGGTCAATGAGGCCCATTTTAATTGCTTTGATTGTGATATGGATGTTAAGCGTCTATTTACATGCAAATATGTGGAGTTTTTTGGCTCAGATGGCGGTGAATGTGAAGATGGCGGTGAATGTGAAGGTGGTGAATGTGAAGGTGGTGAATGTGAAGATGGCGGTAAATGTGAACAGAGCACTTGTATCTCTGCTAAATGTCTGACTAATAAACACTTGCATGTATAATTTGGTGCACTTTAGCCGTTGCATTGAGAAACCAACCAAACCGAATTACAAACATAGGCTACGTTCACATTACCAGGCTGAAGTGGCACAAATCTGATTTTTTCGCCCTAATGTGACTCAGATCTGATGTTTTCAGGGCTGTGTGGACACAAATCTGATCTTTTCAAATCCGACCTGAGCCACTTTCCTATATGGTCCTAGATCGGATACGTATCTGATTCGTGGCCATGTGACCTTAATGTGATGCTCAGATCGGAATTCATGTGCTTTTTTTCCACTGCACTGCACCATCATTCAGCGTTACCATGGTAGCAGCGCCGAACAGAAGTTAAAGCCTGTAAACGGTGGAAAAGCAGCTCATCTCACCTTTTTCTCCTTCGTCTCGCTCTAATAATGAAGCTGAGAGCTGATCAGAGTTAATGATCTTCTCAGCGAAGCTTGTTCTGCTCGTTAGTTTGTGCTGATGATGAACGTGATTCATTCACGTGACGTTACTGAGTAGGATGAGCTCATGAGGGTCATTTCAGGACGCCGGTTCGTCACATTAATGACAGATTTGAGTCTCTTACCTAAACGAGTGTGAATCACAGTGTCAGAGAGATCGGATTTGAGCAACGAGGCTTGTAATGTGAACGCAGCTTTAGTGTCACAAAAAGTCAAACTCTGGTTCGGACTTTGGACAAACAAACTAGCCGTGAAAACCAAGCCAAATTCAGCCTTGTTGAAATTCAGATGTTAAATAAGCTCTGTTTTTGTTGGGGATAGTGTGGGAGAGATGTACCCCTGTTGGTGGGTGATCATACCAGTGGAAAGTGTGTGTGTGTGTGAGAGAGATGCCTATCTCTCGTCAGTCCACCGCAGAAGAACGTCTCATGTGACGCTGTGTAGGAAAGTGCATTGGTGTTGCTGGAGGCCACTGTAAATATCATTTTAAACCACATCTTAGCCTCACAAGGTAACACCTACCGCGTAATTGAGTCTCGACTCTGAAGCGCTAGCATTAACTTGAAAACAGTTGGGAACCTAATTAGTTATAGCATCGTTAAACAATAGTAGGAAGTGCTGAGTAGGAACAAAACATTAAGCCAGCTGCAAAGGAGAAGTTTATTGTGCTCTGTAGCTGTTTTATTTTTTTTGGTCTCGTTAAAGTTGCATCAGACACTGACCATCTGATTATAATGTTGGATCGTAGGGCTAATAAGGGCCAACAGGAACAATAACTCAGTCCCCAAGCATCAACGTTCTCACGTACAAGAGTTTCCTAAAACAAAACAAACGACTTCTAATGCATAAGTAGTTAAATTAATGTCACAAGGCAGCGGTTTAGTGGAGTTACTGAGCTCTTTGGAGGGATGAACAGTCACAGCAGTAGGGCTGCTATGGTTGGTGTAGTGTAGTGGGTAACACCTCTGCCTTCTACGCTGTAGACCAGGGTTCAATCCCCCACCTGGGTAAGCACCCTACACTATACCAATAAGAGTCCTTGGGCAAGACTCCTAACACTACCTTCACCTACCTGTGTAAGATGATCAAATTGTAAGTCGCTCTGAATAAGAGCGTCTGCTAAATCCCGTAAATGTAAATGGCGCATTCACAAGTGATAAACAGTGTCAGTGTTTTTTTTTGTTTTTGTTTTTTTTTCTCTTTTGTCACCATTTCTGGCACTACAGGTGCTCAAACAGGAGTCGAAAGTGAGCTGAGACCGCATGTTTGTTTGTTTTTTTTTTTAAACTTTGTCAAGTTGTTTGTAGAAAATATATCTCTCTGTAAAGATTGCGTGAAATGTATATAGTGTGTGAACACGGAATTTGGAAGTTGCTGAATACGGATATTGTTTGTTCCAGCACAAATTAAACCCTGCTGATTTTAATGATGTATGAAAACCTGACAAAGGCTCACTACAAGCATTCAAAATGTGATGTTTGATAATACTTTGACTCCATCTTGTCTCCATCTTTGCTATCTGCTCAGAGGCTAGTGATGCATTATGGTTAATGGAGTCTTTACTATCTCTCTGCCCTCAGTGTCGGATGGTTTGCAAGGATGTTTCTGCAGAAACCATGTACGACGTGCTCCACGACATCGATTACCGGAGGAAATGGGACTCGAACGTGATTGAGACATTCGACATCGGCAAACTGACCGTCAACGCAGACGTCGGCTACTACTCCTGTGAGATCTTATGGGTTTCCACGATGACTTCACCTCACACCACTTACGCCTGTCGACTGTCATTACTTTTATTATATTATTATTTGTTCGATTTTGCAAACATATGTTTACGACGCAACAGATAGCATGTGAACTAGGCCTAAAATTTGCTTCTTTAGTCTTCTGCTAGAGATATAGCCTCCAGTTAGCGTTGTGCTAACCCATAAGTCATCACACACTTTCCCCAAAACTGGGTTGAATTGTTAAGAAATCTGAGCTTAAACCTGATATTTATCACTGCTTTTATGTGATACTTCCTATGTGCTATGGCTGTGCTTTGTACTATCTGTTGCGTGAGGCTTCTCATCTGGTATGCAGTAGCATTTAGATGATATTTGTGTTTATTTATTTGGATCAAGCAGATTAGAACCTTCGACCAAAACGTAAGATGCTGTCTGTACACCGTCCTCTGTGGTATAGAGTTCAGACATCTCTTTATTCTTAATGTGCCTCGTTCGAGAGAAGCTCATTTTCTTAAACAATAAACACAAACACTAATTTACTAATGAATTTGATACCATTTTCCTGACTATCCCAAGTCATCCCTACTTAATACACTAAGTTTTTGATTGTGGATCCTGTTATTTTGGCTTAAAAGCACTTAAAAGCACACTGATATAATTTAAAAGTAAATATAAATAGTTCATTATTTTGTGTATTTGTGTTGTTTATCTGTTTATTTATTTATACCAGTAAGTTTTATACTATGATGGTGATATAAAATGAACAGAAATAGTTCATTAAAAGCATTAATGGTTCAGAATTTGTCATTGTCGTTTACTGTTTGATGCTGATGTTTTTTTTTGTTTTCCTCCGTCTTTAAGGGAAGTGCCCGAAACCCCTGAAGAACCGTGATGTCATCACTCTGCGTTCCTGGTTGCCCATGGGCAAAGACTACATCATCATGAACTACTCCGTCAAACACCCAGTGAGTGAAGCTTTGTATTGCATCTTTTATCATACATACTTATGTCGTCCAGAGCAGTGACAGCTGCACCACCCCACCCACTCCTTAAACTGATGCTTCAGCCTAACAAACACACAGTTTTCACCTCTTTACCCCAAATGTAGTCCAGACATGTTCGGTGCTTCTTTAGTTTTGCACTGGAACTATGAGGCTGCTGTAGAGATCAAGTCGTGGGGACTTATACTGGGCGATAGAGCCGCAGTCATAGGTTTGAGGTGACGCACAAGTAAGCTGATGATACTTCAGAGTCAATAATCAACAGCTAATTTCATTTTAAACAGCTTGCTATACGATATAAAATAATAATTTAATGTAAATGTAATAAATTATGAACTTTTTCTGATAAGATGGTGGATTATTAGTGGGTGTTAATAAACCGTTAATAAACTATGGCAGAGTAAACTGTCACATACCATCTGATGAACATTCCCAGTGTTACCCGTACAGCTCAAGTGTCCCGAGGGTTCAGAAGAATTATAAAATTATGAAAATAGACAGAAAGTGACCACTTCATTTAGCACACTTCCCTGTTTCTACGCTCATTGTCCATTTTATCAGCTCCACTTACTATATAGGTGCACTTTGTAGTTCTACAGTTACAGACTGTAGTCCATCTGTTTCTCTGATACTTTGTTAGCCCCCTTTTACCCTGTTCTTCAGTGGTCAGGACCACCATGGACCCCTCACAGAGCAGGTACTGTTTGGGTGGTGGATCATTCTCAGCACTGCAGTAACACTGACGTGGTGGTGGTGTGTTAGTGTGTGTTGTGCTGGTCTGAGTGGATCAGACACAGCAGTGCTGCTGGAGTTTTAAAACACCTCAGTGTCACTGCTGGACTGAGAATAGTCCACCAACCAAAAATATCCAGCCAACAGCGTCCTGTGGGCAGCGTCCTGTGACCACTGATGAAGGACTAGAGGATGACCAGCACAAACTGTGCAGCAGCAGATGAGCTATCGTCTCTGACTTTACATCTACAAGGTGGACTGACAAGGTAGGAGTGTCTAATAGAGTGGACAGTGAGTGGACACAGTGTTTAAAAACTCCAGCAGCACTGCTTTGTCTGATCCACTCGTACCAGCACAACACACACCAGCACACCACCACCACGTCAGTGTTACTGCAGTGCTGAGAATGATCCACCACCCAAATAGTACCTGCTCTGTGAGGGTCCATGGGGGTCCTGACCACTGAAGAACAGGGTAAAAGGGGGCTAACAAAGTATCAGAGAAACAGATGGACTACAGTCTGTAACTGTAGAACTACAGAGTCATTTATGGTCAGTGTAGACAAACATCATCTGCTTTTTATGAAAGATTTTCATTAAACCAGTTAACACTGAAACCGCAGTGGGGCAGGTGATATAATTGATGATGTTTTTAGATACCATCCAGGCCTAAACCCCACTAGGACCGTGCAAACTGCCCAGTGATCACACGCCTTAACCAACAAACATGTCCTGAATTATTAACTGCACTTGTAGGGGAGAAACACAATCAGAGTAGAGCAGCATCCTCTCATTCAAAGGCCAGAAGGTCACACTACGGTTTGAGGTTTAAAACTAAAATCCCCTTCTGTAAAATACTAACAGGGATCACAGTCAGGATTATGGTTGGGACTAGTTGTGGGTGGTATAGCCAAACGTGTATATTGCAGCGGAATTGAAATTTCTGACAGTTTCAAACAGACATTTGAGATGCTTAAGTACACCTGCTTTAGTAGGAAAATAGCAGCTTATTATTCTGGGATGCCCCTTAACGTTTAATAAGACCCCGTTTTAACGACCAGGGGGGATCTGAAATATTTCTCTGGTGTCAGTATTGCTTTCTGACGCTACCGTTGACCCGGCAAAACAGTGCTGAATATTTTTCATCTTTCTACACGGCTGATGTTTTCTTCCTTTTCGATTGGGTTTTGTTCTAATTTCCCAGTCCACCTTAAATGGAGCAGCAGTTACATTGGGGAGTCTGTACAGGCGCCGGAATGTAACTGCAGCACCATTTAAGGTGGAGCAGAAAACTCAAATAACAAGCCCACAGACTAGACTGCGGGGGGTGACCGAGGGTCTGCTGTGTTTTTTCGTTTTCATTTGAAATGTGATGAAAACGTCTCGGCTACTCAGATAAAGCTGACTGTTGTGTGTTTTGTGCTGTTTGTACGTCACGTTATCTGCTCTTATTTCTGGCGTACCGGGATAACAGTTATGACTAAACTCACACCTGACGAAGAATTATAATCCTTAAACTGGTCCCAGACCACTGCATGTTTGTCTGCTTTACAAATGAAATCTGCTAGATGTGAGAACGAACTGTGGGAATGTTTCTTTATCTGTACACTTCAAAATGGGGTGAGGATGTCCATACAGTATCACAGTATTTGAGGCACTCTATGATTCTCTTGCAATGTTTACATACATGATTTGTGATATGCTATATATCATGATTTATTACTTTTGACTGCAAATGTTTATCTAAACAGTCCTGAAGGAAAACTGAAGCGCTCACTTTAAAACGATCGTTATTTAAAGGTAAAGGTTCTTCATAGAACCATGAACACTCAGAACCCTTTGCATGATTAAAGGGTTCTTTGCATCGTGAAAGTGTTCTTCAGACTGACGGAGAATGTGCTGTGGATGGTTCTATATAGACCCCGTTTTAAAAAAGCGTTCTTCTACAAGCCTGACATCGTAGCAAGAGAAGAACCCCTTTTTGGGTGCTATATAGAACCATCTACAGCACATACTTCATCAGTCTAAAGAACACTTTCATGATGCAAAGAACCCTTTAGTCATGCAAAGGGTTCTCTGAGTGTTCATGGTTCTATATAGAACCCTTAAAGAACCATACGTACTCACAATTCAGTTTTCCTTCAAGACTGTGTTTTGTTTTGCAGTCAGATTAATAAGTTTTTTAAACACCTGCTGAGCCCATGTTTCTTGGGAAGTCAAGAGTATTAGTAGGGAGTTTGTTGCTCTGTGCTGCAGTAACAGCCTCTGCTCTTCTGGAAAGACTTGACACTAGATGTTGCAGCATTGCTGTGCGGATTTTATTGCAGCCACAAGAGCGTTAGTGAGGTCAGGTACTGATGTTGGATGGTTAGTTCTGGATGAATGGTGCTGCAACACCCCAGAGAACACAGCTCCACTGCTTTACAGCCCAGTGCTGGGGGCTTTAATACCCCTATAGCCCGTGCTTGGCATTGGACTTGGTGACCTTGGGCTCATGTGCAGCTGCTCCGGAGCGTCTCTTGGTCAGTGCTTTTCTGTAGAGGTTATCCGAGTGTGTGTAACTGGACACCTGTGTTAGCAACACCTGCACAGTAAAGTAGCTGAGTTCAGTAATTAGAAGGGGACATACAGTGAATAACTGCATGCAGCTAATTTAAATGACCATTAATGCCTCTGTGGCCCTTTCAGTGTAATACATTAACATTGTTCTGTATCTCTGTGTCTCTGTCAGAAATACCCTCCTAAGAAGGACATGGTGCGGGCGGTCTCCATTCAGACGGGTTACCTCATCCAGAGTAACGGCCCCTCCAGCTGTACCTTAACTTACCTGGCGCAGGTGGATCCCAAAGGTAAAACACACTCTCTCACACACACACACACACACACACACACACACACACACACACACACACACACACACACACCACACACACACTCATAAAGGCATAAATTGCAGCTCAATCCTCTAAATCTTCTACAGGTTTGTATGTAGATCCACTCTCAACTACAGTGCCTTACAGATGTATACAGTCCCTTTAAAAGTCATCGAATTCGTCTGCGTTACAAATGACACTTATTGTTCCAGACAGTTTTTTTATTGAAAACCAGTCTAGTACCTGGTAGAACCACTTGTTTTTTGCCCATTGTTCCTGGCATTTTTTCTCCAGGTGGTTCAGGTTGGTTGGATGACGCATTTTCAAATAATGCCACAGGTTCTCAGTTGTATTGAGATCTGGGACCGTATCACAGAAACTTCTTAAGTCTGAAATCTGACCTCTTTAGTCACCATGACAACTTCAGTCAGGACTGAGTTCAGCACAGTAGCTATTATAGAGCAACAGTTCCTACCTTCATAATCTCATCATGAACTCCAGATAAGAAAACAGCATCACACAAACATCCTACCTAGACTAAACCTCCTAAATCCTGTCCTAACTTTAGGATGAACCCAACAGGGTCCTCACTTCTGAGGAGACAGAACTGAACGTGTGTCTGTTTATTAGGAGGAGTAACGTCAGCGCGCTCGGCTGAAGCGTTTGGAAATGGAGACTGAAACTGGGGAGCGGTGACGCTCTGATAAACAGCAGAGGGCGCTCTCAAAGCTTAGTTTATCACACTTCAGTTTTGTTTGACCTGTTTAACATCAGTAACGGTAGTTAACGTCAGCTGTCTGGCTAACTAACCTGATTATTTTGATTACATGTTTACATTTCAGTGGTGCTCATATTGTCAGTTGCTAGGTCACAGACAAGACAGTTGATTGTCGACTTTGATCAAGTAGGTTAAGATTTCCTAACTTGGGATAAGATGCTGTAAGATAAGATAAGATTCCTCATTAAGATCAGATTTGCTGCTGTAATATAAATTTGTTTTATCTTGACCGGTCAGATCTGAACTTACAACAAAAAGAGAGGACATTTTTTGTAATTCAGCCCCTGGACATTGTAGAACATTCATCTTTTTGTTGTTCAGCCGCTCCTGTGCTGCTCTGGCCTTGTGCTTGGGATGATTGTTCTGCTGAAAGGTGAAGTTTCTCTCAAGCTTTAGTTCTTTAACAGACTGAAGCAGGTGGTCTTGCAGTATCCCCATGTATTTTGCCCCATTCATTCATCCTTCAGTTTTAACAATATGAGGAAAGGCATACACATAACATGCTGCTGCCTAGGGGTGGACGATGTGGCATGAGTAATATATCACGATACTCAAACACATTTTCATGATTCACGATGTGCATCACAATATTTTGTTTTCCTGAGATTTAGTAAGTTAGAACAGACAAAAATAGAACCTGCAGTGCCACATTTAAAAATACTATAACAATGATTTTATTCGATGTTTTACAAACTGCACTGCACAAAATCCAATTCCAAGGCCTAATTATGCTCATGTAATGAAACGTAGTTAGTCAGTGTTCTTTCACTACTGACGATATGGTGATATAATCTATAACGAAACGATAAAAAATGGTCAGATTGCCCACCCCTAATGCTGCCGCCCCCATACTTTGCTGTGGGGATGCTGTTTGAGGAATGGGCAGTGTTCCACAGGGAGCCATTAACAGCATTTTGAACTTTGGCCAAAAAGCTCAATTTTTGTCTGATCTGACCGCAAAACCTCAATCCACATTTTAGCTGAGTAGTTTTGATTCTCCAGATTTGCTGTGATGTTTTTTCCTAGCTACCCTACCAGACAGGCCAGTTGTGTGCAGAGCTCTCTTATATTGTTGACTGGTGCACATTCACTCCAGCCTCTGAGCTCTGTAGCTCCATCAAAGTGATTGTCAGCCTCTCAGTGGCTTCCCTTAAAGTTCCCCCTTCTTGCTCTGAGCTTTCAAAGGCAGTGCCTTGGTGGTGTGATGCCGCTTCCATTTCCTCACTGTTGATCCAGCAGTGCTCACTGGGATTTCTGAATACGTGGATATTATTTTGTAGACTTTTTAAATAATATATTATATAACACAGCACAAAATATCAAAGTGTCATTTGTAATCCAGACAAATCTTGTGACTTTGAAGGGGGTTGAAAACTTTTGCAAGGAATTGTACATAACCTACAAATTAGTATACATCTACATGCAGAGGCTTGAAGCAGGTAAATTCGCATATAAACACACACTGAGCTCTTAATATGCTCCAAATACTGAAATGGTGTGCTGTGTATATTGAGTAGGATCATTGTTATTTCAGTGGCTATTACTGCATTAAATGGCCACATCGCTTAGTCCTGATTGGCCCTTTAACCTGTAAAGGGTTTTGGTCTGATACAGCAGCGGAGGTCCCATGATGCTGTTTAAATCCACTTAATCGCCACCTCTCTGGCTGTTTCTGCTGATAAACATCTGTTTGATGGCATGAGAGAGGAGTACACACACACTCACACACTCACACTCACACTCACACACACACACACACACACACACACACACACACTCACACTCACACTCACACACACACACACACACACACACACTCACACACACACACACACACACACACACACTGGCCCTGAGGCTCATATACAATAACTTACTGTGCTGTCATTTAATCTTTTTCTGTGCCATTTCAATGTTGAATCTCTCTCTCTCTCTCTCTCTCTCTCTCTCTCTCTCTCTCTCTCTCTCTCTCTCTCTCTGTCTCTCTCTGTCTCTCTCTCTCTCTCTCTCTCTCTCTCTCTGTCTCTCTCTGTCTCTCTCTCTCTCTCTCTCTCTGTCTCTCTCTCTCTCTCATTGCAGGTTCTCTGCCCAAGTGGGTTGTGAATAAGTCTTCCCAGTTTCTGGCTCCTAAAGTAAGTATTTTACACCTCTCTCTCTCTCCCATTGTTTCTGTATCAGTGGTGTGTTCCTACAGCGTAAGGCGATGAAGGAGAGGAGAGATATGAGTAGGAGTGTGTGGCATTGTGGTTCTGTAACTGCATTAAAAAAGCCTAAACTCAGTGAGAGACAGACCACATGCTACAGTCTGAATAATCTAAAGACATACAGATGCACTGTATGCGGAAGTATCCGGACAGTCTCTCTGATTAGTGCTGCTTTAAGGTACTGACACATGCATACTGAGTCAGCTATGTATGTCTAATCTCCAATCAAACGCGACGAGCCTAATGTCACTGTGCCCAGTGCCAAGTGTAAGATAGAGGGGTATAAATCCCCCCCAGCACTGGGCTGTGGAGCAGGGCAACTGTGCTCTCTGGACTCCATCCAGTACCTTCAGGAGGAGAACCCCGTACCTGTCTATCTCTATTAATACTCTTGATTTCAGAAGAGACTTTTTTGAGCCAGTGTCTACATACTTTTGGACATATAACGTAGATATAAATCACTGTTGGTCTCTTGACTGAAAGTGAAGCGAAACGAAAGGAGCATTTATAAATAAACTTTTTCCAAGCAAGTTTAGTCATAAATGGATCCCAGCATCTTTAATCACATCCCTTCTCAGTTTCAGCCACATGTCGTCAGACATCTCCACAGCCCCGCAGAGAGAAGTACATTCTAGAAGCGTTTAACCTTTAGATGTCTCGAGTTATTACAGTCAAAGTTTGTTGAGACTTGTTGGGGATCACAGATTTGGTAAATTCCAGTCTGGGAAAATGGCAGACTGGGAAAATTGTGGATTGGGTAGATGGCAGACATGGAGAATTCCAAACTGGGTTGGCAGATTAGATAAATCACAGACTGGGTCAATGGCCGATTGAGGAAAATCACAGACTCAGTAGATGGCAGATGGGGAGAACTGCAGATTATTTAGGTGGCAGGTGGCATATTGGGACAGTGACAGACTGGGATAATTGTAGACTGGGAAGATGGCTGACTAGGAAAATCGCAGACAAGTTTGGCAGATTGAGTAGATGGCATATTGGGGAAAATCGCAGACTGGATCGTGGCAGATTGGGCAAATCACAGACTGGTTAAATGGCAAACTAGGACATCTGCAGACAGGCTTGGCAGATTGGGAAAATTGCAGACTAAGTAAAAGGCAGATTGGGAAAAACACAGACTGGGAAAATTGTAGACTGGGTAGATGGCAGATAGGGAAAATTACAGGTTGGGTAGATGGCATTTTCGAAAAATAGCATGCTGGTTAGGTGGCAGTGGGAAAGATGTAATGTAAGTTTTTTAGTCCACATTTATTTACCGAAAATAGAGTTTTAAAAAAGTCTGTGGCCTTAAGCTCAGTTACTGAGTGGACAGGATGCTAAAAGCCAAGGAAGAAACTAAACGTCCGATCTAGTCCGTGTGCGGTACAGTGTAGATGAACAGCTTCAAAATGCAGCTCCTTCCTTTAGCCAGTGCTGCTTATTCTGTCTGCTAGGCTAAATAGAATTAGCTGAAATGCAGACAGTGTTGTGCTGTTTCACTTTTGACTTAATATGAATTTAGTATTTCTCAGTGCCGAGGTTCAGCCATGGATACCCTGTATTACTGTACTGTATTACTGTATTACTGTATTACTTATACCAGTCTGAGCTGATCTGTTTTCCCTACTTTGATTCAGGAGGTGTGAATGGGAATCACAGACGTCATAAAGCCAACTAATCAATAATATTTATCACCAACAGTTTATTTATTGTATTTCATCATCAACATTATCAGTAGTTGTTGTTTCAGTCCTAATCACAGTACTGAATGTTATCAGTATTTTCCGGCCCTGTGCGTTCAGCCTTAAGGGGCTGTTCCTCACATTTGGCACCCGCGTTTCTGGACAGTGATTTTTGTAGAAATCTCCATACAAATTAAATGGGACTGAGCTGAACTGAAGCCTGGAGAAGTTTCTGGGTTTCGTTCCCACTAATCCAGCGAACTCTCAGTGAGATGTTTGCTGAGGCAGTGAAATTCCGGCGTCTCTTTACTGTGACAGGATGTTTGTCTTTCGGATTTGACTTGGCAACTCGTGACGGCTGCAACGACAGACCGAGGAAACGTGATCAGACGATTAGACGATTCTGAGAGTGGCGGGAGTCGAGAGAGGGGGCAGAGAGAAAACGGTTAAAGACAGACACACAGAGGAGGGAGGAAGGATTCTGGGCTGAATACAAATGTCAGGGTGAAAGGAGGAGTGGAGAGACGAGTGAAAGGAGAGAAGGAAAGGAAGAACAGAAGAAGGAAGAGGGGGAAGGAGGGGTGTGTGTGGGGTTTGGTGTGCCTAATGGAGTTGGGTGATTGAATTAGGAACGTCTGGGTCTGGAATCTGCAGTGCGTTTGAATTTCAGGGTGAACAGATTTGTCTGTGACTGTTTTGGTACTGAATCATTTGGAGTATCACTACACATGTAGGTGTGTTTGTGTGTGTATATTTCAGTATGAAAGCTTTTAAAGTGGGTAAAGCTGCAGCCGCTGGACATCTGCAGGTTGTGTTGCCTTGCGAAATGGGCGTGGCCAGTGCTGGTCCAATCTCACATCCCCATCCTGATTTCACTTCCCGGCGGACCCTCGCCCAGAGATGGCAAGTTAGCACGTTTCATTATCATACAGGCCGTTACAGTCGACTGTAGACTGGTCACTGTCTTTAATTCATTTGTGTGCCAGCTGTGTTGCGATGCCTGTAGCCTTGTGAGGTTCCACCCAGACTGGTATGTATGATCCACCCAATAACACTGCAATTATTGTGACCGGAAACCAAAGGAAGTAAAATCAGGACGAGGATGTATGGTTAGACTCCACACCGGAAGATTGACAAAAACAATGCTTATAGGTCTGTCCACTCAGTGTCCATCTTGGCAAGGAGGAATTTACAGTCATACAAGACCTGGGGCAGTATTACAGAAACATCCTAATACTGAAATCTGGTCTTTGTAGTTTCCATGACCGCTTCAGTTTGGACTGAACTACACCAGATTTCCTCAGTGCTGACCTTTAAGACGACTCCCGCAGTGTCCTACCTTCTCTTCACTTTTTATTACTATTGGTTGCCGTTCTACTGAAAATACAATGAAGTTGTTTTCAGGCAGCACAACAAGTTCACTGTATATAGCAAAATCATGTTACATTTATTGCCAAATGATGGTTTTACTTTTGTTTTTGTTTTGTTTTTTTTTGTTGTTTCCCCAATTTAGTCATATCCAATTCCACCCACTAGTCAGGACTTTCCCAATCACACAGTACCACCAGCGCTAGGAGGGCAAAGCAAGACTTCCTCCAAGACCTGTGAAGCGCCACCGCATTTTGTGAGCTTTTTACGATCATTGAACAGCTGAACTCGCCAGCCTGCTCTCCTGGACTCCCGGCCACGGCGACTGGTGATGCACACAGCTGAAACAAAGACATCAGAATATCCTTAAATAATGATAAATAATCGACATAACACAAAGAAGAACAAAGAACACAAGAAATATTGCCGCTAGTTCAAGAACACTAAACAACTGAATGATCCATTACAAAGGGAGCATAAATAGTCATGTATATTTGGATTTAATGTACCACAGAATGTAAAACATTGAAGAAAAATAATTTTAGTCCCAGTTTGTCTAAAACAAGTATTCTGACTAT